CATCTATGGTGTCAAAGTGGACTAACTTGATTTGGAAAAAGTTAAGAGAAGCTCATGCCCTGGATTTTGTGAAGGTAAGAAATACACTAAAAGAATACCCAGAAATCTAAAGGTGAACTAGAGAATAAAGTAGTTATAAAGGATCTTGAAACACTCCAACATATATTTTGTGCTTGAAAGGATGCACATTTATGCAAGTGTGTGTGCACACTAAAGAAATATGGGAAATTGCAATGGTGTTATAATTGTTCCTGGAAAAAATGAAGAATTGTGCAGGCATACAGAAAACATGAGAAAAGGAGAAAATAAAAACCATGGTAGGCTTGTAAACATGAATATTTAATGTGATTCAATTAACACATATATCTATGGGCAAAGGGTATAAACATTGACTCTTTAAGGTTTTTTTAAATTTAAATAAGAAGCAAGCTTGTTTTACATGTCAATCCCAGCTTCCTCTCCCTCCCCTCCTCCCCCACCCCCTCAAATCCCCCCAATCCCCACTTTGCTCCCCAGGTAGGGTAAGGCCCTCCCTGGGGGATCTCCAGAGTCTGTCATTTCATCCAGGGCAGGGCCTAGGCCCTCCTCCATGTGTCCAGGATGAGAGAGCATCCCTCCATGTGGAATGGGCTCCCAAAGTCCATTCATACCCTAGGGATATATACTGATCTACTTGCCAAGGCTTCCTCACTGACATCAAAATTTAGGGGGTCTGGATAAGTCCCATGCTGGCCTCTCAGCCATCAGTCTAGGATCCATGAGCTCCCCCTTGTTCAGGTCAGCTGTTTCTGTGGGTTTCACCAGCCCAGTCTTGACCCTTTTGCTCATCACTCCTCCCTCTCTGCAACTGGATTCCAGGACTTCAGTTCAGTGTTTAGCTGTGGGTATCTGTCTCTGATTCCATCAGCCACTGGATGAAGGCTCTTGGATGGCATACAAGGTAGGTATCAGTCTCATTATTGGGGAAGGGCTTTTAAGACAGCCTCTCCACTATTGCTTATTTTGCCAGTTGGTGTCATCCTTTTAGATATCTGGAAATCACACTAGTACCAGATCTCTCTTCAAACCTATAATGACTCCCTCTATTATGGTATCTCTCATCCTGTTCTCCTCTATTCTTCCCCCAACTCAACTTTCCTGGTCCCCCATGTTCTCCTCCCCCTCCTCTTCTCCCCTTCTCTTTTTCCTAGCTCCCTCTCTTCCCCCATGCTCCCAATCTGCTCAGGAGATCCTGCCTCATTCCCCTTCTCTGGGGTACCATGCATATTTCTCTTAGGGTCCTCCCTGTTTCCCAGACTCTCTGGCAGTGGGATTGTAGGCTGGCACTCCCCTGATCCATGTGTAAAATCCATATATGAGTGAGTATACACCATGTTTGTCTTTTTGTGACTGGGTTACCTCACTCAGGATGGTTTCTTCTAGTGCCATCTATTTGCCTGCAAATTTCAAGATTCCATTTTTTCCACTGAGTAGTACTCCGCTGTGCAAATGTACCACATTTTCTCTATCCACTTTTCAGTTAAGGGGCATCTAGGTTGCTTCTAGGTTGTGGCTATTTTATAAATAATGCTGCTGTGATCATAGTTGAACAGATGTCCTTGTATGAATGTGCATCCTTTGGGTATAAGTCTAAGAGTAGAATTGCTGGATCTTGAGGTAGACTGATATCAATTTTCCTGAGAAACCACCATACTGATTTCCAAAGTGGCTGTATAAATTTGCACTCCCACAAGCAATGGAGGAGTGCTCTCCTTACTCCACATCCTCTCCATCATAAACTGTCATTGTTGTTTTTGATTTAGCCATTCTGACAGGTAGAAGATGGTATCTCAGAGTTGTTTTGATTTGTATTTCCCTAATAGCTAAGGATGTTGAGCACTTTCTTACGTGTCTCTCAACCGTTTTAAACTCCTCTATTGAGAATTCTCTATGTAGTCCTGTAACCCACTTTTTAATTGGATCCTTTGGTGTTTTGGAGACTTGCTTCTTGAGTTCTCTGTAAAATTTGGAAATCAGCTCTCCATCAGATGTGGGGTTGGTGAAGATCTTTTCCCATTTTGTAGGCTTTTTGCGTTCTTGACTGTGTCCTTTGCCTTACAGAAGCTTCTCAGTTTCAGGAGGTCCCATTTATTAATTGTTGATCTCAGTGTCTATGCTACTGGTGTTATGTTCAGGAAGGGGTCTACTGTACCATTTTGCTCAAGGGTACCTCCCACTTTCACTTCTAAGAGTTTCAGCGTGGCTGCATTTATTGTCATACCCCCCTGATCACACCTGAACTCATCTGACGCTTTAAGGTTTTTAAGAATGACTTTTGAATAAGAGTTGGGATAGCCTATAAGATATATGAAGGAGTCTCAAACTCAGAGCTAGGACACACACATACACTGAAACAGTTTGGCTCCTGATTGCTCATTTTCACTATATAAAATTATATATATATATATATATCGTCTACAGCTTCATTTAATTAATGTATTAGTTATTTTATTTGTGGTGGAACCCTCATGGTTTTCTATATATAAAAGTGATACCTTCATTTTTTTTCTCACCCAATTACCGTGGTTAGGATTTTTAGTCCTATACTCTGTAGAAACAGCAACTATGATCTTTCTGTCTTGTTTGTGATCTTAGAAGAAAGATTTCACCTTAAGACCTACAAATAATCAAAGCATATTGGCTAGAGTAAACAAAAGTAGAGACATCGTACTACCTAATTTCAAAAGATATTACAAACCTATAGTAATCAACATGGCATATAACTGCTATAAGATAGACAAATTGACAAGTGGAACAGAGAACCACTGTTCTAAAGCACATACAAGATAGACCACATTCTGAGCTAGAAAACAAAGCTCAAAAAAGGATATAGGAATCTAAAAACAGAATGTTTTCTCAGTATAATGGAATTAGCTAGAGATAAATAGCAGAAAAATATAAAATTCCTGTGCATCTAGAAATTAATGTATAAGAATTTAAACGTGTGATTTAACAGTTTCAAGTAAAAGAAAACATTCTGAACTAAATGAAAATAAGTATACAGTTTACAAAAATTATAAAGCACTAAAGTAGTCATAGAAAAATATATTACAATAAATGCATACAGTAGAAAAGGTCTAAGATCAAAAACCTAAGTTATAAAATTAAGAAATAAGATAAGAGCAAATTAAACTTAATGGATAGTCAAAATTATAAAGAAAGACATTTGATGGGGGATGTCCTTCTGTGTATATGTTTCTCTTATTGATTGATGAATAAAACTCTGTTTGGTCGATAGAGGCAGGAAAGATGGGTGTGGTACGGAGATGAGGAGAATTCTGGGAAAGGCAGGCAGAGAAGCACTGGAAGGAGCCACTGTGTGGAGACCAGGAGGATAGGACACACCTGGCATTCTCCAGTAAGATAAAGCCATGTAGAAATATATAGATTAGCAGTTATGGGTTAATAATTAAAACAGAACTAGCCAATAAGAAGCCCTAGCCATTGGCCAACAGTTTATAATCTGTTGCATCTAGAAATTTGTTCATTTGAGCCTAAAGCGGCAGGACCTGGTGGAACAAGCTACATACATTGAAAATGAGGGACAAGAAAATCAATGAACCCAAAAATGATTTCCTCAAAAGAAATAAAACTGATAAATCTTTAGTCATGTTAATCAAGATAAAAAGGAAAAGAAATTACCAACATCAAGAAAATTAGCTTGATGTTGATTAGCTACAAAAAAGTCAAGAAAAATATTCCATTCATATTAGCTCCCAAAATAAAATAAAATATTTAGGAATAAATGTAACCAACAATGTAGTATCTCTGTTACAAAATTATAAAAGGTTGATGAAAGACACTTGAGAAAATAGAATAAATATATTGTTGGATCACCTATAGTCATTACAGATATAATCAAGTTTTAAAAAGTTATAATGATTACCATCTTTATAAGGAAAGGCTGACTTCAAAATAATGCAGGGGCTATGTGAAGATGGAAGCAAGGGTTGAAGTGATACTTCTATAAGTAAGCAAGCAAACAAATAACAAAAGCCAAGAATTGTTGGCAACTAAAATAAAATAGAATAGGATAGGAAAATGACCTAGCTCTCCTAGACCTTGAAGGGAGTGCAGCCTTGCCAAAAGTGTAATTTTCCAAAGACCCTCAGAATTGTGAGAAAATATATTTCTATGTTTTACTTGAACTGTTTACTGCTCTAACTGGCCATGTCAACCTGGAAGAGTGAGCCTAAAAATGAGGTGTTCTAAAGTCTCATGTAATAGCCAACTTTATTCAGAATATAAGATAATTTATACTCTAAGGGTTAAGAGGAGTCAACTGAGTAAAGTATACAATTATAAGGACAAGACATACGTTGCAGAAACATGTTTTTCTATAGATGCATATGAATAAAAACAGCCGAAATAATATCATGCCTATTCGCTATAGCCGGTAGGGGCACAAAAGCACATTCCAAGAACAACTCAGTGCTTCTGAAGAAACTGAGATCACAAGACTCGTGTTTTCTTGGAGTCTTCTCACAAGCATTCAGAATTCTTCACACACAATTCCATTCTTAGGCTGTGTCTCACACTACTCAGTTTGAAATTCTTTCAGGAGCCTAAGGAATCAACAAAAGGGATAAAGCTTTCTCTACCCTTTACCTTGTAATACTTTCTATGGTTGCATTATTCCTAGTCTATGTGCTTCAAACACTTTCCCATGGATACTGAGGGTTTCTTTTTTTCTTGTATAATACAGGAGTTTGGTTGGAGCACTGCAGAGTTAGCCCTAACTAAGGTGGGACTTTAGTGCTGCCTGGTGTTTTGTCTTTCTTGTGATTTATACAATAATATTGGAGATAAGTATCATTCCAACTCCACTGAGAACATGTTCAGGCTTCACAAGGAGTATTTTTTTGTTTTACAGCCAAATGAACATATTTTATACCATTGAGTTATATATTTAAATGGTAAATATGACAATTAAAAATATTATTTCCTTACATATCTCTTACCCAAATGATCTTCATGTTGGTGCCAAGTACAACTCACAGACTTGGAAGCTGTATGGCACCAATGGATGGATAACGAAAATAAACTTTTGAAGTTGGACAGTTGAAGAGCTTGACCTGTGTATCCTCTCTTCATCAAATTCTGGAGACTGCTTTGTAGGTGCAACAACTTATGGTACCACATCCTGGAAGAGAGAATAACAACATAACATAATTTTATGAGGCTATAGGAATAATGCTACAACTGTAACTATAGTTATAAGCATTATGAAATAACAAGTAATAACAAGTTTAATGATCTCAATTAGACAAACTGGATAATCTAAAAAGTATAGTTACCTAAAATTAATTTGTTATATGGGAAGAGAGGGAGAAAGACATGTAACCAAGAAAAGTCTATATGGCTCTTGATGTGAAGCTATTTTGACAAATATGTAGTAAGGTTACTAAAAACAAAATGTTCATTTTGAGTGGACTTGTGTATATATGTATACGAACATTTATATGTGGGTTTGATAATAAGGACTGAATTTTATGCTGATGTGGGATGAAGATGATAACAAACAAAGCCCATAGCTAGGGAGGTACCCTTGAATGAATTGGTACAGGAGACCACTTCCTGAATATAACACCACTAGCACAGACACTGAGAGCAACAATTAATAAAATGGACCTCCTAAAACTGAGAAGCTTCTGTAAGGCAAATGACCCAGTTAAAAAAACAAAATGGTAGACCACAGAATGAGAAAAGATCTTCACCAACCCCACATTTGACAGAGGGCTGATTTCCAAACTATACAAAGAACTCAAGAAGCTAGTCACCAAAACGACAAATAATCCAATTAAAAAGTGGAGTACAGAACTATTGAGAATTCTCAATAGAGGAATCTAAAATGGCTGAAAGACCCTTTAGAAATGACTCAACATCCATAACCATCACAGAAATGCCAATCAAAACAACTCTGAGATACCATCTTGCTCCTGTCAGATTGGCTAAATCAAAACACCAATGAAAGTTTATGCTGGAGAGGATGTGGAGAAAGGGGAACACTCCTCCATTGCTAGTGGGAGTGCCAACTGGTGCAGCCACTTTGGAAACCAGTATGGCAGTTTCTCAGGAAAATGGGAATCAGTCTACCTCAAGATCCAGCAATTCCACTCTTAGGCATATACCCCAAAGGATGCACATTCATGCAACAAGGACATCTGTTCAACTATGTTCATAACAGTATTATTAAGAGCAACAAAAGAAAAAGGCCAAGCAACATACAACAGCAAACCTATCAGAATCACACCTCCATGGAAACTCTGAAAGCCAGAAGGTCCTGGATAGATATTTTACCAACACTAAGAGACCACGGATGCCAGCCCAGACTGCTATATCTAGCAAAGGTTTCAATCACTTTAGATGGAGAAAACAAGATATTCCATGACAAAACCAGATTTAAACAGTATGCATCCACTAACCCAGCTCTACAGAAAGTTCTGGAAGGAAGACTCCAACCCAAGGGAGTTAACTACAACCAGAAAAACACAGACAATAGATAATCCCACCTTACCAACAGCCAAAAGAAAAAAGAGGTAGGGATTCACATATAATTCCACCACCATCAACCATTCCAAAACAAACAAGAATGAGCAATCAATGATCATTAATATTGCTCAATATTAATGGTCTTGAGGTGCCCATAAAAAGACACAGGCTAACAGAATAGATTTGAAGAGAGAACCCATCCTTCTATTTGCACTTCAGCCTCAAAGACAGACATTACCTCAGAGTTAAGGGTTGGGAAAAGATTTTCCAATCAAATGAACCCAAGAAACCAGCAAGGATAGCAATCCTAATATCTAACAAATTAGACTTTAAAATTAAATCAATCAAAAGAGATGAAGGAGGACATTTCATATTCATCACAGGAGAAACCCACCAAGATGAAGTTTTGATTCTGAACATCTTTCCCCCAAATACAAAGGCATCCACGTTCATAAAAGAAACATTACTAAAATTCAAATCACATATAAAGCCCCACACACTTATAGTGGGAGACTTCAACACCCAACTCTCACCACTAGACAGGACTACCAGACAGAAACTTAACAAAGAAGCAAAGGAACTAATAGAAGTTATGACCCAATTGGGACTAACAGACATCTATAGAACATTCCATCCAAATAAAAAAGAATATACCTTCTTCTCAGTGCCACATGGAACTTTCTCAAAAATCAACCCCATACTTGGCAGCATATCAAACCTCAATAGGTACAAAAATTGGAATACCTCCATGCACCTTATCAGACAACCATGTGTTAAAATTAGGATTCAACAACAACACAAATTGCAGAAACCCTACAAACTCATGGAAATTGAATAATGCACAATTGCACCACTCCTGGGTCAAAGAAGAAATAAAAAAGGAATTAAAGACTTCCTAGAATTCAATGAGAATGAAGACACAACATACCCAAACCTATGGGACACTTTGAAAGCAGTGCTATGAGGGAAGTTCATAGCACTAAGTGACCACATGAAGAAACTGGAGAATAGTTACACGAGAGAATTAACAGCACAACTGGAAGCTCTAGAATACAAAGAAGCAGACTCTCCCAGGAGGAGTAGGCACCAGGAAATAATCAAATTAAGGTCTGAAATCAATAAAGCAGAAACTAGAAAAAGAATCAATGTAACAAAGAGTTGGTTCTTTGAGAAAATCAACAAGGTAGACAAACCTTTATCCAAACTTACCAAACGGCACAGTGTGAACATGAAAAATAACAAAATCAGAAATGAAAAGGGGGACAAAACAACGGACACTGAGGAAATCCAGAAAATCATCAGGTCATACTTTGAAAACCTATACTCCACAAAATTTGAAAATCTAAAGGAAATAGACAATTTTCTGGATAGACATCACTTGATAAAATTAAATAAAAAACAGATAAGCAATTTAAATAGACCTATAATCCCTAAGGAAATAGAAGCACTCATCAAAAGTCTCCCAACCAAAAACAAAGAAACAAACAAACAAAAAAAACCGCCCAGGGCCAGATGGCCTCAGTTTAGAATTCTACCAGAAATTCAAACAACAGCTTATACCAATTCTCCTCAAAGCATTCCACACAATAGAAGCAGAAAGGTCTTTGCCAAACTCTTTTTATGAGGCTTTTATAACCTTGATACCCAAGCCACACAAAGACACAACTAAGAAAGAGAACTTCAGACCAATATCTCTCATGAAAATTGAAGCAAAAATACTCAATAAAATATTGGGAAATCTAATCCAAGAACACATCAGAAAACTCATCCACCATGATGAGGTAGGCTTCATTCCAGGGATGCAGGTGTGGTTCAACATACAAAAATCCATCAATGTAATCCACCATATAAACAAGTTGAGAAACAAAAATCACATGATAATCTCACTAGATGCTGAAAAGGCCTTTGACAAAATTGAATAACCCTTCATGATAAAGGTGTTGGAGAAATCAGAGATAACAGGAACATACCTAAATATAATAAAAGCTATATACAGCAAACCAACAGTCAACATCAATCTAAATGGACAGAAACTCAAAGCAATTCCTCTAAAATCAGGAACAAGACAAGGCTGTCCATTCTCTCCATACCTCTTCAATATTGTACTTGAAGTTCTAGCTACAGCAATAAGACAACAAAAGGAGATCAAGGGGATATAAATTGGAAAGGAAGAGGTCAAACTTTCAGTATTTGCAGATGATATGATAGTTTACGTAAAGTGACTCAAAAAAAATCTATCAAGTAACTCCTACAGCTGATAAATACCTTTAGCAAAGTGGCAGGATACAAGATCAACTCAAGAAAATCAGTAGCCCTACTATATACAGACGATAAAAGGGCTGAGAAAGAAATCAGAGAAACATTGCCCTTTACAATAGCTACAAACGACATAAAGTACCTTGGGATAATGCTAACCAAACAAGTGAAAGACCTGTATCGCAAGATCTTTGAGTCTTTAAAGAAAGAAATTAAAGAAGACACCAGAAAATGGAAAGATCTATGCTCTCGGATAGGCAGGATCAACATAGTAAAAATGGCAATCTTACTGAAAGCAATATACAGATTTAACACGATCCCCATTAAAATCCCAGCCCAATTCTCCACAGACCTTGAAAGAACAATTCTCAATTTTATGTGGAAAAAAAAAGACCCAGGATAGCGAAAACAACTCTGTTCAGCAAGGCAACACCCAGAGGCATCACCATCCCTGACTTCAAGCTGTATTACAGAGCTATAGTCTGGAAAACACCTTGGTATTGGCCCAAAAATAGACAAATAGAACAATGGAATCAAACTGAACACCCCAACATTAACCCATACATGTATGAACACCTGATCTTTGATGAAGAAGCTAAAATTATACAATGGAAAAAAGAAAGCATCTTCAACAAATGGTGCTGGCATAACTGGAGGCTGACATGTAGAAGACTGCATATAGATCCATGTCTATTGCCATGCACAAAACTCAAATCCAAATGTATCAAAGACCTCACCATAAATCTAGTCACACTGAACCTGTTAGAAGAGAAAGTGGGAAGTACCCTTGAACGAATTGGTAAAGGAGTCTGCTTCCTGAACATAACTCCATTAGCACAGACACTAACATAGACAATTAATAAATGGGAACTCCTGAAATTGAGAAGCTTCTGTAAGGCAAAAGACACAGTCAGTAAGACAAAAAGGCAACCCACAGATTGGGAAAAGATATTCACTAACCCCACATCTGACAGAGGGCTGATCTCCAAAATTTACAAAGAACTCAAGAAGCAAGTCTCCAAAACACCAAAGGATCCAATCAAAAAGTGGGTTACAGAACTAAATAGAGAATTCTCAGTAGAGGGGTCTAAAATTGCTGAGAGACACTTAAGAATGTGCTCAACATCCCTAGCCATCTGGGAAATGCAAATCAAAACAATTCTGAGATACCATCTTACTCCTGTCAGAATGACTAAAATCAAAATTTCCAATGACAGTTTATGCTGGAGAGGATGTAGAGAAAGGGGAACACTCCTCCACTGCTGGTGGGAATGCCAACTCGTACAGCTACTTTAGAAATCAGTATGGAGATTCTTTGGGAAAATGGGAATCAGTCTACTACAAGACTGACCCAGCAATTCCACTCTTTGGCATATACCCAAAAGATGTACATTC